GCCGGTGGACTGAAGGGTCCTGGGTTCGATTCGCGGTCAAGGGCATGTGCCCGGGTTGCGGGCTCGATCCCCAGTAGGGGGTGTGCAGGAGGCACCCGGTCTGTGATTTTCTCTCATCGTGGATGTTTCTCTCTCTCTCCCTCTCCCTTCCTTTGAAATCAATATCATGGATATTTCTCTCTCTCTCTCTCCCTCTCACGTCGTCTCGGAAATCAATCCTATATAATACAAGCCCAGCGACCATAACGGCATAACGACCAGAACGACTGACTGACCAGCCGCGATGACCACCTCTTGGTCCCTCCCCGCAGCCCGCAGGCTCCAATCGATCGCCCGGCCAATGGGGAACCAGGGTGGGTAGCGGAGGGGCAGGACTAGGGACTGGTGAGCGGGCGGAAGACGGCCCTGACCACAGGCTAGACCTGGGGACCCTCCCCGCGCCCAATTTGGTGCGCTGGGACTCCAGTAAGGATATATTTTTTAAAAAAAGAGAGAGAGAAAGGAGAAGGAGCTGGGATCAGACCCGGTGGGAGAGGGTACGGACTCACAGCTTGACCAGGAAGGGGTGGCTGACTTCCTTCAGGACCGACTTCTCGTTGTGCACGTGCTGCTCCTGCTTGAGACGGATGACGTCGGGGATGCTCATGACCTTCAGCGCGAAGAACTGCTTGCCCGTCTTCTGCCGGACCAGCTGCATCCGCCCAAAGGTCCCGGTGCCTGCAGAGGAGCAGGAGATGGGGGGCTGAATGGGCACCGGGATTGGACCAGGAGTTGGACACTCAACACTTGGCAAGAGTCCGGCTGGACGGGCTCAGGGGTGGAGCGTCGGCCGAGGAACCAGGAGGTCAGGGTTCGATTCCCGGTCAAGGGTACAGGCCTGGGTTGTGGGCTCAATCCCCAGTAGGGGGCGTGCAGGAGGCAGCGGATTGATGTTTCTCTCTCATCGATGTTTCGGACTCTCTATCCCTCTCCCTTCCTCTCTGTAAAAAAACCAATAAAATGTATTTTAAAAAAATAAATAAATGAAAAGGCGCCCCAGCTGTCAGGTACATCCACTGGCTCATGGAGCCGGGGGTTGGGGACCAGGGCCACCGTGGCCGTGGCTCTGAAGTGAAGTTTCCGTCGTGAATGTTTCATTAGAGCAGAAGGAGATGGTGACCTGCAGGAGCCAAGGATCGCCGTGTGCAGACAGGCCGACAGTGAGCGATTCACCTCGAAGGCGGGGCCTCATGGAAAGATCATTTGGCCCTGGCTGGTGTGGCTCAGTGGATAGAGGCTCAGTGGATGGAGCGTAGGTCTGCGCACTGAAAGGTCCCAGGTTCGATTCCAGTCAAGGGCATGTACCTGGGTGGCGGGCACATCCCCCGTGGGGGTCGTGCAGGAGGCAGCCGGGCGATGTTTATCTCTCATCATCGATGTTTCTAACTCTCTGTCCCTCTCCCTTCCTCTCTGTAAAAAATCAATAAAATATATTTTTAAAAAAAGATAATTTGGAGGCAAGAACAGAACTACACACTCGGTCCTCGGACCCCGAACCTCTCCAATCTCGATTGATCTGCTTCTCGACCAACCTGTTCGCGGAAAAGCTGCCCCCGTCATGGACCAAAACTTTAGTTTTTTTACCCAAAACCCCTTTTAAGTTGAGGCCTCACCATGAGAAAAACAGCTCCCCGTCAACACAGAAGACGGAATGCTTTTGTGACGGACAAAAATCCATGATGGGCACAATTTTATTTATTCCATTTTTAAAAAAATATACTTTATTGTTTTTTTACAGAGAGGAAGGGAGAGGGACAGACATGTTTTCATAAAAATGGACTGCCACACAGCAGTGAAAATAAATGCTCAAGAGCCACATGAATTACCATAAATCTCAGACACATGTTTTGAGTGAAAATGCAATGGAGGTACATGCCCTTGACCGGAATCGAACCCGAGACCCTTCAGTCCGCAGGCCGACGCTCTATCCACTGAGCCACACCGGTCAGGGCATTGTTTCATATTTTTTTTATATTTTTTTTCCTTAAAAATTCTCGATTTAGCACATTTTCTAAATCAGAGAATAAATGTGAGAACCGTAGGTTGTTTTAAAATAGCACAGTAGCTCCTTGATAGGCAATCTGATGGGCAGAGTTACGCAATACACAAAAAAATGACCAGAAATAAGACATTATTTCTAACAGAGCTGCCTGAAAAAAATCCTGATTATTAAAACCCTGGAGCCTTGGCTGGGGTGGCTAAGTGGATAGAGCGTCGGCCTGCGGACTGAAGGGTTCTGGGTTCGATCTCCAGTGGGGGGTGTGCAGGAGGCAGCCGGTCAATGATTCTCTTTCATCATTGATTTTCCTATCTCCCCCTCTCCCTTCCTCTCTGAAATCAATAAAGATAAATTTTTTAGAAAGTATCCCTGAGTTTTTATAGTACATAGGGAAAGGGTAGTGATACTCAAGCAGCAATAGGCCTGAAATCTTAACGGCCCAGCAGCATTTATGGCTAAACATGGTCACAAGGAAACACTCATTTCC